GTGTGTGTGTGTGTGTGTGTGTGTGTGTGTGTGTGTGTGTGTGTGTGTGTGTGTGTGTCCTGGGGGTTGTTCAATCCAACTAACTATTCATCATAGCCTGAAAAATACACAATGAAAATTACGTGGGGGATCACAGTCTGACAGTTCTTTTCTGCTTTCATAATTCCATCAGTTTTGACAAGATCTCCAACACCACTGGCTGAAATGCAGGCCCAGACATGGCATAAGACCTGCTGCCATCGATCTTCAGTTAAGTCCTTGTGTAACTTGGCAAACTTCAGCCTTTTCTCACGTTTTCCCTTCTTTAACTATGGCTTCTTGAGAGCCACCCTTCCACATTCCTGGTGAGGCTTCAGTGAATAGTAAATGTGTCAACTGAAGGACTGGATGCATCTCTTGAATCGGGTCTTCGCTGGATTTTTTTCCTGCTTTCCTTAAGGACCGAACTTTCAGACACTGTTCACCTGTTGCATTTTTTGTTTTTAGACCTGTCACTGTCCTCCAATTTTATAGTTTCCTCAAATTTTGTTTTTAAGGATACACTTGATATCCCACTGAGGTATGTTAAGTTTTCAGCTAAAAGCTCTCTGGAAATCAACTTGTTATTAGAAAAATACAATTTTATGCCTGTCAAACTGTACTTTCATCAGTTTAACAGAAGAAATAGGACCAATTATGCGTTTTTGCGTCGGGCTCCTTGATTTAGGTGTATATTTTATGCTTGAATGAATGGTAAGTAAGTATTGAGCGGCTTAGCAAAACAGGTAAAAAGACTGGAGTGAAAATGAGTGGGGTGGGGGGCTGGGGAATGTTAAAAAAAAAAAAATTAAAAAATGGAAAGACTTCCAAAAAGCTAGGAGAACTATTCCTGAAGGCCCTTTAACTCCATGGAAGCAAATTTGAAAGAAGTGAGGGTTGGTTCAAGGCTTTATAGTATAGTATATACCAATGCAAATCATATAATCTAAAACGTTTCTTTCTCCCCAGTTTCAGTTTTCGCGTTTAGCTATCTATAATAATATTATAATAACTATGATGGCTTGGAGTTCTAAAGATTTGCTGCTAAACTAAAATAAAGAAAGCAGGGGGTAATTGCATAATCTGAGACTCGGTGCACTGTTGTACAACTGTCCTCCAAGAGGACAACCTCTCTGCACCAGAGCTAAATGTACCCTGACAATAATAATGCCACACCCTCGCGAAATACTGAACCGTTTGTTTAATACTATTAAGTCTGTTACTGCGTCCTGTTATTGAACATTAAACGTACTAACGCTAAAAATGTTTAGAATTAGACGGCGAGCTCTGACGTTACGACGGCCACAGATTCAGATTTCAAGCAACAAATACACAAATGACGAATTACTCGCTAGCTCACCCTTTTCGCGACAATAGAAGAGAGCATTTTAACCCAGGTTCTTTTAAGGTCCACAAATTTGACGTATCCGTCTCCCCTGTCGAAATGTTTTTCTGCTGTCTGACAGAAATTACACAAGTACGGTCACAGGAAACTACCGGAGGGAGGGCTGTACACAGCCCACACGTGGTTTTGTTTAACTGCAGGAAAACGTAGCTGGCGTCACAGTTGGACCTTTAGAGGTTATATAGTTAATCTGTGTATTTATTTATTTTTCGTACTCAAAAACAAATGCATTAGCTAAATACATGCTTGACCCTTTACCAAAAACTAAACCAACTTGACTACAGGAACTAAAAGTCGATTGTTGTTTTCAGCCGGTGACTATGTCAGCTGCACCAACTGCCAGAGTAGCAACATTAGCTTAAGCTGATCAGAGAACGAATGAGAAGTAAACTGGTAGCTCGTGCTATGAAATACCTTGTATGTTTGTGAAAGTTTTCATCATAATTCAGCTTTCTTATCATTTATTTCCGCAGACTATATTTTCGGTTTGTCACACTCAGTTTTAGCCACAGTATGTTTATTTTAAGTCCAGCGGAACATTAACGTTAGCTAACAAAATAAGGAAAAGTGAAATTCCTGAATTCTAAAAGTGCATCCTTTGTGTTAATTTCTAAGGTGTGCATGTGCGAGCTGCACTTAAAACAAATAACAATTACTAGCTGGATTGCAAGTAATTAATTATCTTCGGCCCACGGGATGGCTGCTGCAGGACGAGAACATGCAGCTGGACCAAGCACCGAGGACAAAGATATAGATCTATATAGTGACCTGAATCAAAACGACGAGGTGAGTCTGGCATTGAAATCAATGCAAAAAAAAGGGTCAGTTTATGAAACGATCAAACATAATGTTTACTGAAACAATCGGTCAAAAATAAAACTGCGGTACATATCTTCCTAGGAGGAAGGTGCCACATCCTTTAATTTTTTTTAATTTTACGTTATCTAATACTGGAATATATGTTAGTATGTTTTTGAGCTACTTAAAACTCACCTATGACATGAAAAATACTCAACTAAAAGGATGAAATTTAACAAAGAACCGATTTGGAATAGTTTCTTTGGGCTTTAGTTGTATATTTCTTTAGTTAAATATTTTTTAAAAGACAAAATTAACAGAGTTTGTGTGCTGAAAAGTAAAGGTGATCATATGCAGCATTGACAAGACTTTTGCCCACTGCTGTAATTATTCTTTTTCTATACTTCACAGGATTTGGATAGAATTGCAGAAGCAAATGAACTTTTTGATGCCGTTCTAACCGGTTCTGTTAACCAAGACAAGAATGTTGCTACCAAGGAGTCCTTACGTAAGGAGACATCAGCTAAGGAAGAGGATAAATCAACAGAAGCAAATACTCCAAAAAGAGCAAACTATCTAAGGAGACTTTCTGTATATGTTGGGCATTTCCCATGGGTGAGTTGAGTTTTGCATTGCCAATACATTTTCATCCATTTTAGAAACACTGTTAATACTTAAACATTACTGGAAAACAATAAATAATAATCAGATTTTAGATTCTTTATATAATGCCAAGACAGATAGCACACTATACCATGCTTGCCATTTGTTTACACAGTTGGCATTACTTTAGTAATTTTCCAGTTCTTCTCCAAATGTGTTAAAACATTTGGAGAAACTAGCAAAGGCTACATAGATACAATAGATCAGCGGTCCCCAACCTTTTTTGCGCCACGGACCGGTTTATGCCCGACAATATTTTCATGGACCGGCCTTTAAGGTGTCGCGGATAAATACAACAAAATAAAACTTGTACCGGTACTGAAAAAAAGAAAATTTATTCATAACACACGTGAAAAGACCAAGGAAAATCGAGTAAACGATAAAAACGATAACAAAATAACGCTGAAAACCGATAAAAACCCTGAAAAACATACATTTCACACCTGAGCCTCAACTCTCGCGGCCCGGTACCAAACGACTCACGGACTGGTACCGGTCCGAGGCCCGGGGGTTGGGGAACTGCTGCAGTAGATGATCTGTTATACCTATAAAGGGGTGGCATATGCGGTGGCTGTAGCTCAGGTGGCAGAGCAGGTCAGCCACTAATCAGAAGGTCGGTGGTTCGATCCCAGGCTGCCTCCTAGCTGCATGCCAAATATCCTTGGGTAAGATACTAACCCCGTGTTTGCCTACTGGTGGTGGTCAGAGGGCCCGGTGGCGCCAGTGTCCAGCAGCCTCGCCTCTGTCAGTGCGCCGCAGGGCAGCTGTGGCTACAATGTAGCTTGCTATCGCCAGTGTGTGAATGGGTGAATGACTGAATGTAGTGTAAAGCGCTTTGGGGTCCTTAAGAACTAGAAAAGCGCTATACAAATGCAGGCCATTTACCATTTACCATAAAGTTGAATGACTTTCCCCCTACCAGTTTTTTTTTTCTTTTTTACAAACCTTCTCATCCTTGCAGTGGGTAACTGAGAATGACCTAACATCTATGGCCAAAGGGTTGGGTGTGAAGAACATCGCAGACATCAAGTTTGCTGAGGACAGAAGTAATGGTGTGTCAAGAGGGTGAGTATTGTGTAAAATATAGAGAAACCTTTAAAAAATAAAGCATTTTTGTATTTTTCTTTTAAATTTTATCTCCTACTCTGTGATGCAGCTTTGCAGAAGTGGTGATAACGTCAGACGAGTCACTAAAACTAATGTTGGAAAAAGTACCACAGTGTAAAATCAACGGGGAAAGGATAGACTGTCGCTATGCCACTTGTCAGAACCTTGCTTTTTTTGAAGAGGAAGCAAACAAACGTAAGGGGAAGACGACTCTCACAACACCCTGATATTTAGTTTGTATTACTAAATGTCAGGATAACATTTTTCATGGAGATGTATTTTGTTTTTTTCAGGTGTACCCTTGCGAACTAACAAAGAAACCAAGGAATCTGATTCGTCAGATGAGATTCTCTCAGTATTATTAGCACAGAAGACCGCCCCGTCTGCTATACCTCCACTTTTTCCATCACATCCACTTGCTAACAGCTTTCCTCCATTACCCGGCCCTTCTTTTGGTCATCCACCTCCCCTGTTTCCACATATGCCACAAACAATCGCTCCGCTCATGGCAGCCCCGCTGTTCCCTCCTCATCCAGTCCCTGTCCCAAGCCACCCGTCTCTTGGTATGCATCCCACATACTTCAGCCCAGCACAGGATGGGCACAGCAGCAAAGCTTACAGCCAACAAACGTGAGAACACATTATTTAATTTTTTTAGCCACTGACACACTAAAGGCATTTACAGAGAGATCATATTAAACCTCCAGTGGAACGTGAACCAATGAGCAGGATACAGAGAGGCATAAATGAGAATAGAGATTACTTATGACTAGAAGTTACAAAAAAGAAAACATTAAAACATTAGTTACTTTTACTAATAACTGTCTATTTTACAGAAACACACCTAAAAGTTCAGATCCACATTTGGAGGAGCTTATGAATAGAAACAGAACCATTGCCAGCAGTGCCATCACAAAAGCTGTGAGTGGTGCAACAGCTGGTAAGTATAAATGCATATGGGACACAGGTTTTTTTTTATGCTTATTACACTCAAAATGTAAAGTTGTTCCACACAACTTGCACTTGAATTAGGAAGCACACACATATCATAGTATATTTTTGTCTTAGATATAATTGGAATACATGTTTTTACTAGTGATAAAAAATAAATACCGTATTGTGTACATAAATCATTACAGACTTTATGCATTATTTGAAAGGCTCTGAAAATGCTGTTTTAATGCTAATCAGTCTGATCTCTGCAACAGTTCTAGTTCTTTGGTAGATTATTCCTATTTTTAAGGACATGACTTTTTATAGATAGTTTTTTTTTATTATTATTTTGGCCTGCCAGTTTTTTTTTGTTTTTTTTGGTCTCCACTTCAGTTCAGTTTATTGAAAATACTGCAGTTGCAAAAATTACAAGAAAGACTGGCTCCTTTGAAGAAAGATACAAAGAATAATGAGTAACTCAAGAATTTAGTACATTTAGCATATTTGTGGCAAAATAAGAAAAACATGACTGTTTGGTTGTGGTTTAATCAGATTTGATTGTCAGCGCTTTTACAACACAATCTGTGTCTTTGGGACCTTTAGGTTTTTGGTTATGTTTTTCTAGCTTTGCACACTTTTAATTTCTACTTTCTTCAAACGTTTTGTTACCTCCTCCAGTTCTATCAGAGTGAAATAAGAGCCTTTCTTAGTTCTAACTATTTCTACTTGGGATTTGAGAGGAGTTTAAGATGAAGCTTCGGCTGGCACATTTAACAACATGCAGAGATTTATCCCAAAGCCCTCTCAGCCTTTTTTTGGCTGCGTGCTCTGGGTCTCTGTATACACATAGGTGAATCATCACCTCAGGCCAGGCTTTATGTCTTCTGACTCAACAAGCCTCCCTGCTGCGTCTGTTCCGAGATACTTTCCTATCTTTAATGAATTTTGTAGTAACTGTCGCCCATTTTCAAAAACTTTTTATTAAACCTAACCCTAGGAACTTTAAAGTGTTTCGTTACTAAACAAACAAATGCTTCTAATATCTCCCAAATTTCTACATCAGGAGACCTGCAGGTGGCCATGGAAACACTATTAACTGCCATTGCCATCATTAAGCAGTCCAGAGTGTATGGAGATGAGCGATGCCAGACGCTGGTCACATCACTCAAGGATTGTCTAGTCTCTATCCAGGGCAACTATGGCTACAGGTTTGTATAACTGCCTATCAAAACGCTGTCGTTGTTGTCCATATATGTATGTATATGAACTAATACTGAGGTTGGACCTAGCATTAGATTTCTTACTTTGTTACAAAACCATATTTCTTTTCAGTGAACAAAGTCGCTCTGGAAAAAGAGACCGGGACAGGAGTCGGGACAGAGAGCGAGACCGTGAAAGAGACCTGGAACGGAGTCGAGAGCGTAATAGAGACCGGGAACGGAGTCGTGGCAGAGAGCGCGATAGGGACTGGGACAGGAGTCGTGACAGAGAGCGTGATAGGGACTATTCTTCTGTCTGTGAAGATGCAGGAATGTCTCGAAGACACCTGGAGCACTCCTGGAGTGGAGAAAGGGAAAAGGCGTATTCACGGGAACGGGAAAGACACAGAGATCACAGAGACAGGTACCACTAATTAGGTAAGTTTTTCACTAATATTAATTTGTACACTACAATTATATTTTACCATCAATCAGTTTCACGTTTTTGGAATATCTACTATTTTTCCAGTAGACATTTTGACCTCTGATGGAAGGAAAGCCCAGGTGTGTTCCACATAGGTTGCATTCCGATATTGCTAACTCACTGGAACAACTTACTTGAACAAATGAGACATTTTTTATTTCACCTTTTGTTTTTCTTATGGTGACAAAAAAAACACAAGTCGCCTGCTCTCAAGAAGTTCTGTCATCCGTGTTAGGTTTCTCATTACACAGTAATAAGTACAAAAAACTTAAATAAGACTTACATCTTTTAGTTTGCTCAGTAAACCTGATAATGCAGATTTATTCATGTAGAGCACAATAACTGTGCTTTACTTCCTTCAACCTTCAACAATTTGTTCAGGAATTTAGCAGCACTTTGTGCTGTGATGTAATAGTAGTTTATTATTTAGTGTCAGTTTTTTCATTTTGGTTTATAAATGTATAAAAGCTTCTTATAGCTAATATCTTCTCATATTAATAGTACTTTTCATCAGATCTGAGGCCTGTACTATGAAAAGAGGTAACTTCAGCAGTAAAGTTCACATCTGTCACTTATGGTTTAATATGAACTTAGAGAGATGGTTAAGTGTTACCTGAGTGTATGTTGTCCTGAGAGCAGGAGCTCCATTACATTTCATAAATGTTTGTAGAAGCAGTCTGCATGACTAGGTGCTTGATTTCATACATCTATGGTCATGGAAGTGATTGAATATCTGAATTTAAATATTTGGATTGGTGACTGGATCCTTCTGGCAGTTTACTGTATTATGTATGTGTATATGGTTCATAAAGTGAAACTCACTAAATTTACTTTAGTGAGTTTCACTTGGATCAATTTATTAAATCTGCCTGCACCAGACAGAGCACAGCTATATTTGATCAAGTAAAATGAAAACATTTTACTTGATCAAATGCAGAACTTTTAGTCAAGATATATGTAAGGGATTAGCACAAATACTGCTGTGTGAAACACCACAGGATGCATCCTAAAATGACAGAACCCATTTAGGAAATGTATTTCTGAAAACATACATTTACTTTTATGTTCAGTATAGTGTAGGTCTGATTTGTAAAATTTGTGGATTTCAAAATGTATTATTTTCCCATCCCTAGACTGAAGTCCTGTGACTGAAGCAGAGCAAAGACAGGCCTTTTTTTTTTGGGACAAAAGTAGAAGAATTCCAGATTAAACTACGGATATGCGTCTTCTAAAGTCCAAGGTGTACTTTTTTTCTTTGAAGGTACTGAGTTTCTTTTCATTTTAAGTTCTCCAGGATCTGTAATTTTAGATAAAGACTGTAGAATTGTTGCTGGGACATCAACTTTCAAAGCTTGCATGCACAGAAGCGCCCCCTAATTTATGTAACTGTAAAATTTATCACTTTTTGTATTAAATGTACAAAAAAATATCCATAAACATAAATCCAAGTTGTTGTTTTATCTGCTTACTGGGGACCACAAAAATCATTTTAACTGCCTCTGTTTGGACCACTGTTAACACATTAAAATGTAAAACTACTGAAAGTCTCGCTACAAGATTTATCATGCTGCTTGGTTTTAATGCATAGAACAAGTGTGGGGACTAAGCTTTGCAACTACACAAGACAGCAAAGGTATAAGCACATGTAGCAATGCCATCAACAGCTTTATTTAGAAAAATGCATCACATTAATAACACAAACATTCAAAACTTCAGCCTGCACAAAGTCCAAACAGTTCTTCTAGTTTTCATTTCTCCAATGGCGCATAATTCAGCAATTTCTCAATAAGATCCACGTGAGAAAGAAGCATCCTCCTGCAGCAGTACCTCTTCAGTCCCAGGGCATCCAGGGCGTCACTTGAGAAGGAAGAACAAGTAATGTCAGAGCTAATGCATGATATATCCTGAATGAATAAGTACATGGACATTACTGAACACACTGAGGAAAATGGTCTAAATGGCCTCATGCAATTATGATTCACTTAATCCATCAACTAATTTTCAAGCTGACTTCAAACCACTCAACTTCTACAAACGAAAAAAGTTCAATGTGCAGCGATTGCACTGCTACTAAGTTGTGTTGCCATAATACAACAGTTACTTACAATTTAAGAGGCAATGTCAGTGGAACAAAACAGAATGTGTTAGTCTTACCCCTCTGTGTACTCGGCTTGAAGAAGACCAAGGTATGCTTCCCATTTGTTACCAACAATCTTGCCACACGTGAAGCACCGTACAGGGATGATCATGTTTAGACACCTGTGAATAGAGACCTGGTGCTCAACTTACCCAATAAAATTACGTATCAAACACGTATGTGATGTTAACGACCCAATTTTGTTTTCGTAGATCTACGAAAAACGACGATAAGTTTAACTTGAAAGTATTAGGTGCCCGGCTAATTCCGAGCTAGCTAGCGTCACTATTATGCTAATACTGTATCTTTGATGTGTAGCTAAGACAACTATAAATTATGCAAGGTGATAAACCCAAACGGTGTTTACCTGTGCGTTGTTTGATATTTTTTGTATCTGCGTGTTTTTTCAGGAGCAGTTATCAAATTAATTGAACAAAACACCTAGCTAACCATTTCAGCATGCGTAACCACGCGCTTAGCATAAAACTTTAGCTGCTTTAACATGTTGCGAATCGCAGTGTTGGTTGTTTACCACAAAAAGCAAAAGGTCACGTTTTATTTACTCACCGTTGCCACTATCGTTCGCTAAAGCACACAAGTTATGGTCTTCTGAGAGAAACAAACACCGGAGAAGTTGTAACTGCTAGCTTTGCTTTCTCCAACCGCAACAACAAGAAGACTTCCTGTTAGAATCTTTCAAAATAAAGGACTACTTCGGCCTCACTGTTTTTCATCAAGATCCGGGGGGAAAAATAATCTAGAAAAATTTCACAAAACTTCTCGGAGAGATGTAGCATGGGTAAGGTTAACTACATTTAGAATTATCGCTAAGTTATAAATTAAAAAAAAAAGCCTAAACTGTATGGACTTAATATTTATATCTATGAACAAGTGATGTGGAAAATATCTTGTGCAAATAATAGAATTTACTTCATGTGTGGAAATGTGTTGCCTCCCTGCTGATGGTTATCCTTTGTTCATCTGCAATAGCGGAGTGAATGTAGTTTTATGACTTTTAGAGGTAAAACGAAAAGCTCGAGTAGGTGTTTCTTTTCATTATAACGCATCTTTGTACGAATAAAATTAGACATGCATATCACTTTTCTAGTAAATTATCTTGTACACACACATTAATAAGAGAGACCTATGGAGATATTAGGAGAGAATTCAGTTTCTATGTACCCTTATAGCTTCCATATTATTAATAATACATGTAAATTGTTCATTGGCAAAATGATAGAAGAGCAGCAGCCAAGCTATGAAAATCTCACATATAGCATTGGCATCACATAAGTACAGCTCTAAAAATGACCATAAAGTTGACTCAGCAGAAAGCAAGCTGTCACACTAACTATAGAGCAAACTGCAGATGCCTTAAAAACAGACACAATACTTCTCAGCGGTATAACTACATCCTATGTCACATTAACGAAACATCCTTCTGGGAGGACGTGTTGAGCAAAGTAGACCTGACCACAATAATGGTTTCCGTGGGCCAGCAGATATTGATTATGGAGTAAAAATGAATTACATAACAATACACCCTGACACCAACAATACACCCTAATACTTTACATGAAATGTGCCTCAAAAGGGGTAATAAAAGAGTGATTAAAGACGTTCCTGGACACCTGATGCAGTCTGATACATTCATGGTGAACTATAAACTTTGTTGTGACAAATAACTGAATAAAATTCAAATAATAACAAAATACAAAAATAATAAATTATAGTAGTAAATATCACAAATCACAGAATACAGAAAGTAAAATTAAGTCAACCAGAAGTTTAAAAAAAA